GCTATTGTCAGTTTCTGATCATTAGTGAAATGTTTCTGCTGTTTTGGTATTTCTAATTCCCGAAACAAAATATTTCATTTATTTCACAACAATGGCGGTTTACGATAATAATGAGAAGTAGGTATCATATGATGGTTTGTTTTATACAATCTAATGAAAATCCGCAAGGAACTTCGGAATTATATTTACATAGGAAACATATCTTGAGCGCTATGTTTACAATAATTTCTGAAGGATTCTCCATTTTTTGTTTATACCAGATATCCAGAAAGGAGACAATCTTTTCCAGACATATTTGCTATATATGCTAGCAAAAATATAACTACGCCACTGGATTCTACGAGAAAAACTCTATGAGAACAAGTTTCAACTTCTTCGATAAGTTCAAAGATAACTGAGACACGGGGAGTGCCTGAAAAGTGATATTTTCCAATTCCACCCTGTATCTCGACAACCGGAAGAGCTATCACAATTCTGCTCACGCCATTATTAATTTCAGGAAAAAGAAGTCGCGAAAACCGCAATGCTCTATCTTTACTGATATGGGAGATACCCAAATTGAGATACCCTGTACAGGGTAGTCTAGGCTCACAATTATCAATGGTGAAATAATGACGAAATGTAGAAATGAAATAAAGAAATGGAATGGAATTTTGAAAAAGTTGGGAATTGATGGAGATGAGAATTATTTTTCACATATTCTGGAAGAGTAGAAAATATGTTAAGGAATCATTAAATTGGACACTGGCAAGGAACATAACTTTCATTATAATAGATGAAGGTACACAATTTCGGTTATGTGGAAATAATACTGTTTGATATAATATACGTAGATATCTATTGAAGGTAAAATAATTCATATCTCATGTAACAAACATCATTAAAATGATGCCACAATTATTCTCAAGTTTCCTGAGAGATCGTTAATCTACCTTACTCTACAATTGACAAACATTTGAACCTTACTCTACAATTGACAAACATTTGCAAAATGAGTGTTTCGAATAACCAACTCTGTCCTTCCGCCACATTTCTATGTAATCTTGACAACAGGGCACAAGGTCTAATTAATGCAAGGTGTGTCCATAAATTAGAGCATTTAATCATTTGAAATTACAACTTTCCAGGTCTATAGCGCAAACTAAAAACCATCAACAAAGATCGTATCAATTCGAAGACTTTGTTGAAAATCACTGTAGAGACTCTTTTTCCGATTATTTCCCCAATATAAATCAATGAATGAATCATTCATGAACTCCGGGGTGTTCCATTTTAACGACGCTGTTTTTTGTATGCATGTCAGATATTTCTTATCTCTTGGAGGGCACGATAGTAAATGCCTATGATTTTTGAAGAACATCGTGTATCTAGGAGGTAGGTGTTGGAGTTTTTTCGAGGATTTGGAGGTGATAAGTTCTTGTGAATACTTTCCTAGGCATAGAATTCCGAAGCTTTATTGACGTTTCATATAGACGAACGAGTTTTGGTAAAATGTTTCTTGATATATCTCAAGGTAAACAACTGAAGGATGTGCTGACTGGGCCTGTTGAATTCGTCTGACTGGAATTGCTAGTGGTGGAATGATATCAGAGATTTTCTGTTAAACGTCATCTGTCTTTCTGACTCCCATCAAGGGGTACCTACAGGATCCTCTGTTGAACAATTCTGCATCAATCTTTGGTAGAAGTCCATATTGCTCAAAGTGGAGTGAAATATTTCACAGGAAGGAAAGAATGCTCCAAGTCTCCACGAATTTGTGGAGATGACTTCGAGCATTCCTTCCATCCTGTAAATTTTGCATTGAATTTTTTCCTTTTAATGATTTTTCATCATCATACGCAATGTAACACTTCTATTCATGTGAGTAACATATAATAATCTCACTCTCAACAATTTCACTAGCTCTAAGTAAGGTAGTAGGATATTTGAGATATTTGGCTGATGATGGGCTTATGATAGACTCGAAACATGTTCCACCCCTAATTGTAACACTTCGTCATTAAAAATCGTCGAGATGACTTGAAGATTTTCCTTCCTTCAGATTATATTATGTAGTAGAAAATTAGAATTCATATTGAACATGATTATACTTCATCCACGATAATAATACATATATTTTCTCAAGCAAAACGGTAGCTTCTTCTCACACCAAAGAATAATAGCAATGAATAACCATTATTCACTGGTTTATTAAAGTTCCTAGGGTCCGAGATATAACTTAAAAGGAACTGTAGACCAGTGAATAATGATTATTCACTGCTATTATTCACTGGTGTGGAAAATGACTATTGTTTTGCTTGAGAAAGTACAACAGTCGTGGACAAATGATTGATATCACAGATATCTTAAATTTTTAGTCTTTTAAATGACAAATGAATAATGATAAAACAGTCATTAAGAATGAATGAATATATCAAAAACAATAGTAGTCGTGTACAAAGTTCAGTATTCTACTCGCATATAAAGAGCTACGTCCAGGATGAGGATTCGAAAACATCCTCATCTTGGACATCTGCATACTCAATACAATCTATCACCGATATAACTGTTTGAATCCAAGCTTTTGCCACTATCGTGAAAAGTGAGGTAGTTTGAAAATCCAAAATTTCCAAATTGAGAGAATTCTCAATTCATTACCGATTCATCGTGAGAACACTATAACGCCCTGTTGCAGATCTACTTCCTGTAGTTCCTGAACAAATCCTATACATGGGGCAATGACGGCTAAATATCTGGACTGTCTGACGCGATAACCCGTCAGACAGGCTAGTTATTTAGCCGTCATTGCTTGGGAGGTATATGAACAAATATGTCCCTGAAACTTCTAGAAGAACTTTCAACTACTTCACTTTTCCTAAAAAAAAATGATCATCCAGTAAGAAGGGATCACGAGCTGCTGAGGGCTATAATATGTCCTTATACATTTCTGATGGAACAAGTGTTCATAAGTCAGTGAGATGACTCAATGTGGTAAACGAAATGCAAAAAATATGATCGAACCTCGGATCGAACCCATAATAAGATATTTGTTGCGACATTTACTCCTATTTGAAAAAAATTGACTCAGTTACCATGGTAACGTCGATTCCCTCAGGGATAACTTCACTGCAGCAAGAGATATTCACAATGAACAATTGAATATACCGGTTATGCATAAAATTAATGTATTTCGGGTGTAACTTGCTTTAATGGGCCTAGACGCGTTAATAGCTCTCGCTATCGCTGGGACTCCTGAAATGTCAATCATTTAATTATAAAATCGAAAACAGATCATTTGACCCCTATATGAGCGTCATTTTAATCTCATATAAGTTTTTTTTCACAATTACATGATTTTTCTGAACTGATGGACATGATTACAGTGAATATTTCCCTCTTATATCGGTAATTGCACTGAACAACGAAGATTGTACTGCGAAGGGAGCCCGTCGTCATAACAACACGTTTATAAGGCCATATGTCGCTAGAAGCCATTAAACAATACAAATAAATGTCAGATAACTTCAAAAAGTGATAAAAATGTGAGTGCTCCATACAATCTAGCTAGGAAAGTATAAATGAAAGTGAACCAAAAAATACCAAATTCAACAGATGGAATTCCTTACATCGTGAAACAATCCAATGAATTACATTCGTGCATAAATATGACCAGACGATTTTGCATTCAAGTGTGTTATCTTATACAAATTGCATTCGTTTATTTTCATATTTCGTAGGATAGCCCTCCGCTTTCGAACTCGTGCTCTTTCGCCAAAATATGAAAATAAACTCCTGCAATTTTTGGATAACGCGCTATCTTGCAAAATTATCGGAAATTTTTATGCACTCGTGCAATTATAACCGGAAAGAGAACTATGCTGGCGCCTCTTCAGATCAGAAATCTTTTGGAGGCTATACAGTTTTGTATAACAGCTAATAGATATGCATCTTGAGGGAAAGCAATGGCGCAAATCTTGATATGTAGGCTACTGTCGTCCTAAAAACCACGAACTGTTGCTCATTTCTAGAATGGCCTTTGCTGGTGCAAATTGGATTATAAGGGCATATTTTTAACGTGTGTTGCAGTGGAGACACAGCTATTATTCCACCTTTTTGTGTTCTGGTTCCTGCGAAAAGGGATATCCTGTAATGTTCAGAGAACATCGTGAGAACCATAAGAAATAAAGTAGGAATTGGTGTTCTTCTTGAATTTCTGGAGGTTATATGCCTCGCGGAACACCTCCCTTGGCAAGAGATGTTCTGCAGGTCTCCAAAGTGACCATGAAGGGGTGCGAAGCCTCAACTCGACTGGTCAATCTCGCGGGAATCGCAAAGGAAGGAACAATTGTTGATATTTCAGAGGAGCATCGTCCATGAAAATATCTATAAAATGGAGCCAGATCGCCAACTTCCCTACGGTGTTCCAGAGAAGTGAGTGAGTTTGTGAGCGAGGCATCACCTTCCAGACGGATTGCCCTTTTTTGGACAGTGCCTTATAGATCATAAGCAGCTGACTGGAAGTGAAATAGCTCCTGGCCCAAAACAGAAAATCAAGTTTTTGAGATGCACTTTTATCAATTGATCTCACGTGATTTTTCCAAGAAAGTTTATTGCTGATAGTAATACCAAGCATCGAAATAGATGTCTTCAAAGTTATGGTTACTCCTGACAAGCTTATGTTGGGCACAGTGAGATCGGATTTTCAAGAGGAAAGGCATGCTCGTGTTTTTTTGCATTCAAATCTACCAAGTTATTGGATCCCTATTCGAGAATTGTTGTCAAGTCCATATTTATGTTGTCAACATTTCTCCCACGTTCGTTTCTGATTTGCCTGATGGCTGGTATTGGAGCCCTGGAAGAGAAGGCGGTATATGGAGGGTACTATCATCCGCGAAGCTGTGTACTGGACATGAAGTTGCTTCCAACAAATCGTTAATATGGAGTAGGAAAAGTGTTGGTGCTAGAATTGATCCTACCCAAATCTGACAATGTTGTGAAGCAAATAAGAAAGCGAAACTCACGTGTATCATCGTACTTGACATGGAACAGTTCGGAAAAGCACTTCACCACCACAGTCTCGTTCAGCGGCGTTGGAGGCCAGCAGATAACCTGATCAAAGGTCGCCTTACAGAAGCCGTCTTGATGATGAGTACTCGCGAGGAACTCTGTCCGACCCTTGTACTGTTCTTTGCACTGTTCCAGAGTCAGGTTGGTGGTCATTCCTTCCTCCAGGGAGGAGTCACCCATGTCTGCATCGGAGAAATAGAGAGGCCTGCCAGAGGAATCGTGATCAAGAGGGGTCAGGTCCTGTTGCCAGCTCATACCGATAGCAGGGACGCTGTCAGTGTTGTCGGCGGGTCGAGTGATAGTAGAATGGTCTGCTAGTTGCCTGGAACAATAAATAACTTCGTTGAGACAATATAGTACTGCATTATAGGAGAAAACGAAATTGGTGATGTTTGCGGTGATTGAGTACAGGGAATAGGAGGTGATATAACATAATTGATCCTGAATGGTCAGTTAGTTCGATGAGCTATGAAGGGTTCTTTCAAAATTGTTGTTAATATAAGTGGAGCTGTATCAGCTTCAGAAATGCGTCTGCGTTTTTTTCATTCCACTACAGTTCATGTAATGAAATATTTTGTTTGATATTCTCATCTCCATTTTCAATGGGTTGCGTGCAAGAACTGTCAGTTGACCAACCCTGGAGGTGAAACATTGGCACACAACCTCACTTCTCTTATTTGTTCACAAGTGATTGGAATAGTTTCTCACAATTTGGCATAGGAATCGTGTTTTTCGGCAATCCATTTAATCGCGCATGCCATCATATTGTGCTGTTGTACAATGCACCAAAAATGCAGCGGAAGACGAAGGAATCTGGTTGGTACATTATGATTTGGAAGTGAGTACCTAAGTTATAGTCACTCACATAATATAGTTTTCATATTTGATATCTGGTAATTTCTCTGATTCCTCATCGGAATTCCTTCTGCAATAGGAACTGATAGAAATACTCGTGAAATTTCTAAAATAATGCGAGAAGATTGGATTCATGCCATCAAACAGAAGGACTGGTCTGACATGCTGACGAAATATGACCGTTTGTGTTGTAGACATTTTCAATCTTTCAGCAGTATTAGCTTCTATTGCAGAAGTGGCTGAAGGAATTTCAATAAGAAATTAAGAAATTCCATGATGAACACTATGTGAGATCACTATTCACCTGAAAAATTATATTCCTTCGTCTCTCGCTGCATTTTTTGTGCATTGTTCAACAGCACAATGAGAAGGCATGCTTGAATCAATGAATAGCGCGAAAAACACGATTCGTATGCCAAAATATTGTGAAAAACTATTTCAATCCTTTGATTCCTCTGTAAACAAATGAAAAAGTGAGGTTATGTTTCAATATTCTACCTCCAGGTCGGTCATCGTGAACGCGAATTATTCAGAAATCATAACCAATATTTTTGAATGCTGAATTATATAGGGTGAAAAAGATGTATTTATCAATGTCACCTCATAGGGGATTGAGCAACTATATATTCAATTTCATATATACAGGGTGATTCAGGTTTTGAGGTACAAAGTGAAATGGTGAATAGATAGCATTATTTCAATCAACAAAGGTTTCATATACATGAGTCTGATCTCGATCAGTAGCGTAGCTACAGGGGGTTAAAGTTCAATTATTTTTTCAATTAATTGAAATATCTCGCTCACTTTTGAAGGTATCAATATGAAATTGGGTGTGATGAATACTTTCTAGGAGATCATCATTCGAAGTATCTTGCAGATTTTCAAAATCAACAGGGTGATACGTTTTGGGGGGTAGAGGCTACTCAATCCCCATTATACTTTTTTATAGTACGCCTCTGAGATATAGATGACTCGTCCAGTTTGAAGCCATTATTGTACTCAAACTCCTTCTGAGTTATCAACCCTTGAAAGCGAGGTTGGAAGCTCCCTGACCTTCTACCGCTACTGATCCAGATTGAACACATGCCTAAAATAATTGCAATTTGAGTATATTCCATTGCATTCTCCATAAATTGTGTCCAAGATACATGGATTCATCCCAAAATATTACTGCATGATCAAAAAATCTAGAGCAATAGTGGAAACAGAATCTAAAAATAAACATTAATATTTTAATTTTTGCTGCTCAATAATGGGAGGTATTTTTGATAGAGAAGTAGGAATTTTCAGCCATTGCATGCAATACACAATAGAATCAAAGCCTGTACAAAACACACTTCAAGCTCAAGGACCTATCTCATACGGTTGATGACCGTTCTGTAGTCACACACCCACAAATTTACAATACATGAATCTTCGTTCCCCTTATCAAGAATATCAAACAAATAAACAAGTATATTTACTTTTTTCCTTATCGACAAACTGTTCAACCTATATAGGATATTCTTCAAGTCTATACAGTATCATTTCCTTCTGTTGAACTTTTTCGAACAGATCCTAAATTCAACAAAATATGGTTTGTTTCTCTGTGTGTCTTCCAAATATTGACTGAGGTATATAAAAATATCCATTGAAGATAAATGCTAACACTACAACAATCTTATCAATATTATCACCATCTGCAGATTACTTACTAAATTTCTGATGTCAACATGTTGATAAAATAGGGAACCATCACCTCAAACGCGATGGTGGGTAACAATTCAAATGATTTCACAAATGCGGCATATTTGGAGAAAAATCATGGTATAGTAGCAGTTCTATGAATGTTCACTGTTTCCCCACGTCCGTAACATAATATGTTATTATAGTAAGTATATGAATACCAAACTATCCTGACCAAGTCCAGAGAAAAAGATCATTTCTGAATTTTTTGATATACAGTGTGTTACAATTAGGTCCACCCCACCCCTGTACTTCGGTATCTCCAGGGCGATCTGAAGATATTGTTTTCTCATAATATATCACTCAAAATTATCTACTTAGTCGGAGAGAAAGAACTTATCAAACACAATTTTTTGCCCACTGCGATCACAAAGATTCCAGCAAATTTGAAGAGAACGGATGAGTCACTTTTTACAAACATTATGTTAATGCAGGCAATCGATTCGGTCTAATCACAAATGGTCCTATATCAATTGCCAACACAATTCGGGGTCATTTTCATCAACGTTACGATTTTTGAATAATAGCACTTTTCAAAAGTCACCGTTTATACTGATTCTCAGAATTTGAATGATATCAGGCATGATGGTATTAGGTCTATATCATAAGGCTACAGAGTGAGATAAATAACTAATAAAATTACTAGAAAAGGAACAAAACATCAATTATTCCTGACAAGTTGAGATTTTTGTATTTTCGATTAAATATTTTCATTCTCTTTTCGCACGTCATTTTCAACTCTCCTTTCTGCGAGGTGTACAAATTGAGGCCAAGAAATAGTAAAGACTTGAGAAAAATGAACAGTTTGCAAACAGATACCACCTGAAGAATAGAGAGAAGTTTAAAATGACGTACGAAAGATATATGGATATTGTGTAGAGAATGAAGGAGATTTAATCTAAAATAGTAAAATCTGAACTGGTTAAGAATAATGGTTATTTTGTTCTTCGTTTAATTTTTGATGTTATATTTCGATAGATATCATTCAGTTTCTATTTATTTCTTGATTAAAAATCTACATTTTTTGTGATTTCATTAGTTATATATCTCACTTTGTAGCCACATGATCTAATCCTGACTACCATCGTGCCTGATATCATTCAAATTCTAGGAATCATTATACACGGTGACTTGAAAAATATGAGATATTATTCTGAAAATTGATATAGGAGTATTTATGACTAGTCCGAATCGATTGCATACATCAAAATTCTTGGAAAGAATGCCTTATCCAATGTCTTTAATTTTGCTACAGTTTTTGTGATCGCAGTAGTAGAAATTGTGATTTATAATTTTTGTTTACTCGAACAAGAAGTTAATTCTGAGTAGAATACTGTGAGAAAGAAATTCCTAATCGCCCTAGGAATACGAAAGTGCAGGGTTGGGGTGAACCAAATTATAACACACAAATTCGGTTCTGATTTGATTATTTTTGCGAAGTTAGCAGTTCAAACTCAACTCAAATTAATGAATATCGATAAATCATAATATTTGTATGATTCATCGAAGAGCTCAGTCTGGTCCCAACTATTTTCAGCACTGAACCCCAACGAACTGATGAAAACTATCAACTTCAAGAATCTCAGGACTCGTTTATTCTCAGGTCAAGCTCATGAATGCGTTTCATATAAATATTCAGATAAAATACACATCACCAGGAGCGCAGGAGTGGAATTAACACCGAGTATAAATATTCATTTAGATACCTTGAATACCTTATTGGTTTTTTTTTTTGCAAATGAACGCATAAAAAAATATTGAATGGGTTGAGGTTTGAGTTTCAATTGGATTGCAAAGTGTATATTTATTTCTATATAGATAACAAGGGGAAGCTTTCGTGACTGTTCGATGGGATATATTCTTGTGAATATTCGTGGGAAGCGGTCGAATGTGCCAATCAGTGAGACTTCTTCATATTTTGTCGAGCTTTCGACATTTTCTTTTCTTTATCACGACCAACTGACAACATGGAATGTACAAGAATGTTGGTAAGTATATAAATTTACATCAACATTTTACTGCTTTCCACGAATATTCCCAATATTGTATGTATATAGATTTGTTAGATTCATTTGATTGCTATGTAGACAACTCGTGGTTAATGCTTAGTATAAAGAGATGCACCCTATAGTGTAAATACAATAGTGGGTGTGTATACTAACCATATGAACAAGATTCATGACACTCTAGGCTAATCCACCAACTAATCCGCGTTCATAGTCTTTCTAGCACTAATCTATCAATTATTTTCGAATTATTGAGTTTTTTATTGTTGTAGTTACGATTCGCAATATAGTCGCGATATAACGAAAATAAATTCACAGAGCTGTGCGTCGTTAGGTATATGGTAGCCAACATCCAGGTTATCAGATTGTTTGCTTAAACGTGTAATTTCTTTGTCTATTTAATTACTGGTTGAATACACAAGTTATACACTAGGTGATTATGAGTGTGAACACATATCAACGAGAAAATGATTGAAAATCTATCATGGACATTTTGTTAAGCATTAGTGGTGGTGTATCATTGGAATCAAACGTCTGCAGTCTTGCATTTTCAACCGAGTCTTCAACAAACCCTTACCATGACTATTCTATGATATAATCATGAACTAGTACCGAAACTCACCGAATGGATTATGAAAGAATTCAACTATGATTTACATGGTCAGTCAG